CCTCAAGGAAGGGGTTGGGATGTTTAACCTCTGAGCACCTGCTGAATGCGTGTGGGAGTGAGTGACCTGGACAGCATAAGCCATAGGCTGCTCCGTCTGTGCACCAAGACTGTGAAGCGCTGCTTGTGGTGGCTGCTTGGGACTTCATCTGTGGTTATGTGGTGTTCAACATATGGCACAGCAGAGGCTTCGTGTAAGTCCCTGTAAGGGGCTTGGCCAGGAGGGCATCTGAATGGTCTCTGAGAAACAACATTTGTCTGTTGTGCCATCATTGTTCAAGGGTACACAACATACACTATAGGAAAATAGAATGGGAACTAATTAGTCAAAACCCACAGTCCCTAAGTATGGAGTCAAAAATGCATTTGATCTTATTCAATAGGCCAAGAATGGATATGGAGCTTAAAATGAAACCAGAGTGTTCCCTGCATCTTGAAGAAGATAAAAAAGGAAAAAGAGGCCCATCCTTCCTGAGAATTGCACCTTGGCACCGTTGGTCGGCTGCCACAGGTACTGCCAATGTCTATAGCTTCACTTCCTATTCCCCACTTGTCGACTGCCAGCCAATTGAGCTGGTTCCAGCTGGCTGCCGCCTGCATTCAGCCACAGAGCCCCTCCCTCCTCCTGCTTATGCACCTATCCTGGTCAGATGGTGTCATTGAACACCCACCTGAGATGACTGTGAGCCATTCCTTCTGAGTTCCACACTCTGACTGAGAAAAAATTTGACTCCGTCCTGATGAATGAGTTGCCATGGCCTTTCCAAAGGTTGTCTCACCTAGAAACCCAGTCAAGCACCTCTCAAAAATACAAAAAATCCCACCGACTATTGTTACCCAGAAACCTGATAAAAATCACCTGATGTCGTTAAGAAAATTTAGTCAGGCAGGTGAGATGGCTCAGTAGTCTAAAGCACCTACTTAGAACAAGTTTAGCTAAAGCACAGGGACCGCGGTTCAATCCCCCAGCACCACATGCCAGCCAGCCAGCCCCCAGGTGGGCTGAGCTGGCCACACACACATACACACACAAATGAAGAAAGAAAGAAAGAAAGAAAGAAAGAAAGAAAGAAAGAAAGAAAGAAAGAAAGAAAATCTAGTCTTACAGACTAGATTTGATCATATCCTCTGGCTATGAATTATAAGGACTATGGACACAAAAAAAAATCAATCAAATGATAAGAACTTTCAAAAGTTCCCTCTGTCAAAAAGTTCAACTGGGAAAATCCAGAGACAAAAGGCCAACTCACTTGGACTCAGTTGCCTGCGGGATTAAGTCACCCATGTTGGCTCCGCACATGTGTACCTCTCCCCGCTGCCAACATGAGATGACCGTCAGCAACTCCTCTGACTCTGTAGTACTGAGGGACACAATCATATTTTAGGCCCCTGTTGCTGTCACGTCACAGGAAGCATAAACAGAAATCCAGCCACACATCACCCTGAGAGACTGCTCAGCTCCTTCTGACTCTGTTTAATACTGAACAACACCACTGCATTTTAGATGGGGCCCAAGCCTGGTTAGAGTCAAAAGTTCTCACCACAGTGGCTGATCCTGACGCTTGGGTGAGCACAGTCCTCCCCAGGCATGTCCAAACTGGACTGTGACACGACAGAGGGCCATGAAGCCTTGGATCAGTACTGAATTGCCCTCCTGGCAGGCCTCAAAGAGGGAGGCAAGAAGTCAATGAACATGTCTAAAGTTACTGAAGCTACCGTGTGGAGTCCCCACTAGAAAGAAATTCTGCCAAAGCAGATCCTGTGAAATTGGCAGACACTTTATCAAACATGAATTCTTGGGTACACCAGTCTCCCACTTCTGGGAAGAGATCAGTGAGCCTCCCTCTCATTTAACCCTGAACTTTCAACTCTGACTATGCCCTGAGTGGAAGAGGACACCCACATCAGCCTGAGTCAGAGAACTGCAATCCTGAAATTCTGAAAACTCCTCCCAGAGTTACAAACTAAAGACTGGCCTCTGGGCCCGGCCATCAACCGTGACACCTCCGTGGCTGTCAGCCGTCAACAACGCAGCCCTCGCCTCGCATCTATGGTTCCCATCCCATGCCATGAGGGGTTTGGAACTCTCCCACTACCTTGGTGGAGACACTAACAGATTGAGCCAAGCCACCAGCACCTTTTCTCTGATGTTTCTCTGTCTCTTCCAGCTCTGTTACATTCCCCCAAGCAAACAGTATAAACTATCAAACCTCTAAGATATACCTTGTCACGCGCGGCCTTGCCTGCAAGAACCACGCGACCACTGGTTGGTTTTCTGCGCAGCTCTTTATTGTTCCCTTACATCCGTCTTCTCTCTGTCTTCTCTCTCCCGAGGCCCCTGCTCTTAGCTTATAAGTCCCAGGGCTTCCAACCATGGGGTGCCACGTGTGTACTGCCCATTGGTCCAGGTACACGGAAGCAATGCATTAGCCCAAGCCTTGGCCATATATGGAGTTGTTTACTCCAGGAGCGCTCACCCCTTGAGGGGGTGGAAGGCGGAAACCGGCGCCATCCTAGGGCACGGCTACACGTAGCTCCCTACAATACCTCACTCACACCTACTGCCAGTTCAAGATCTCCAAGCTGCCAATGCTGCTGCCCTTGCCCTTTTGGGCTGTCCTGGCCTCTAGAGACTTACGCAGACTGCCAACCCCTGGGAGCACCCAGTGGTCCCTAAGGCCTTCTTCCCCCACTTTGCCTCTGTCATCGAACAGCCACTGTCCTTCTGATCAGGAAAGCTGGCAAACTAACCTTAAACCAAGACCTAACTGCCCAGGTGCCGCAGGCTGTACTGAGAGGAGCTGTCCTAAAAATGCACCCCTGATTGATGCTGAGTGCACCCTATTTACAGACGGAAGCAGCTCTGCTAGAAACAAAGTCCGACGGGCTTGGCACGCTGGCCACCTTGGGCAAATCTATTGTAGCCAAAACTTTCCTGCAGGGATGATCCACACAGCAAATTGCTGTTAGGAAACCTGTCACCAAAGAAACAAAATAACCCAGCCCAGAGGCTTAACCGCCCTCCGGGAATCCAATTGACTGGAACATCAAGCCTAGCCACCAGACCCACTATAGTTCTGTACATTCAAACTGCTGCGCTGGAGCTGGTGAGATGGCTCAGTGGTCTAAAGCACCTACTTAGAACAAGCTAAGCTAAGCAAAGCACAGGGACCGCGGTTCAATCCCCCAGCACCACATGCCAGCCAGCCCCGCCCCCTGGTGGGCTGAGCTGGCCACACACAAAATAAATAAATAAGCAAATAAAAAAAAATGTAAAAAAAAACCTGCTTGAGATTTAAAAAAAAACAAAACAAAAAACTGCTGCGCTGGTACCTGTACCCCTGCAGCCAGCTGAGGCTTTAGCGTCTGTGTCACTGACTCCAGCCTCCTGTTTCGCACCTCTACTGAGAAAACAATAAAAGCTTGTAGGGTCCTGCTATGCACAGTCTTTCCTAGATATGGCCTACCCTTGATCATCGGCAGCCACAATGGGCCTGCCTGCATTTGTAGCAGAGGTCACCCAGAAATTAGATGGATAAGAGCTACCTACAGCTTGTAATCAGCTAGCACACCAGCTATGTCTGTAGACATTCCTGCATACATGTATAACCCAGGTACCTATCAAGTACCTCTACAAGTTTCTGAAATCTAGCTGAAAAATTTACCTGGATAGCTCCTCCAAGCTCACTTGGAAGAGTACACACACACACACACACACACACACACACACACGACTGAAGCCAGAGAACATCATTCATGAGATCGCCTCTTACCTACTCCCCTTTATTTTTGCATCTTTTCAGGCTGCTCAACCCGTCCTTTCTTCCCTGCTCCCCTGCTAGCTGTGGTTTTTGGTAATTGATCTGGATTCTGCTTACCCCACATCTTGTGTCTTTGTTCCCTGTTTGCCTTTTCTCTATGGACGGTTGCTCCAAGAGAACAGAAGCATTGATCAAACACTTGACCAAGATTTGATGAGCATCCAAGACATACCAGACGCTCTCCTAGAGCAGATGGATGCCCTCATTGCCTTGCTAGCCTAATGTTACAGACAGGCCTGAATTCCAGTTGGACCTTGCCTTAGAAGATCACATGTGGGCTGGTGAGATGGCTCAGTGGTCTAAAGCACCTACTTAGAACAAGCTTAGCAAAGCACAGGGACCACAGTTCAATCCCCCAGCACCACATGCCAGCCAGCCCTGCCCCCTGGTGGGCTGAGCTGGCCACACACACACACATAAATAAATAAATAAAAATTTAAAAAAAAAAAAAAAGATCACATGTAACACACCTAGCAAAGCTTTGCCAGGGAAACTAAAAGAGAGGGGGAGTATGGAGCAGCAAATGACCCCATCAGTAAACTTCAGTGTGTTGGTCACCCAGGTAATAGCTCCTGTTCCATTTGTGGTCTCTCCTGTCTCTTGGAAACAGCTGGTCACTAGGATGCATATTGTATCAACCAATCCCTGTCTAACAAGCCGTTCTGCCTCTGTACTTCCTGCTTGTTTATCCCAGATGAGCCCTAGACCAGTAGACACCAGGGCCTCCTTTTCTGGGAATGACTCTAATCAGAGCCCATCAATAACATTCCAAATCCTGGGTGCTGTTTCAGTGTTTCTGGTAGCTTGCCGCTGCACCTTAAAAAGATAGTTTAAATTTTATTTATATCTTATATATGAAACATAGACCCAAGAGTCCAGGGAAACTTGTTGCCAGTTCTGGATTCATGTGCCAGCCTCTTCCCTTTGAGCCTCTGCGTTCTCATCTGTGAGGTGATTTTTAACAGTGTCTGTGACCTTCTGCACAGGAACTAATCCCTGTCATCGCTGTCTCTCGGCTCACCTTGCCCAGCCCCCAGGACCTGTGAGGCTGTGATTCACAAAGCACTTGTAGGTGTTCTGTGATGTGAGCCGGGTCCGTTCTGAGAGCCACATAGGACTGGGGAGGGGCATCCTCCACACGCACAGCCGGGAAGGGAAGCAGCACAGCAGAGAGGAAAGAGACAGTGGGACAGGCTTCCCTGCTGGTCCAGCGGGTCCCTGGTTCTGCTTTTCCTCAGTGAAGCCAGCTGGGCTCAGTGCATGGAGGGACAGCCCAGCCTGCTCAGAGCTCAGCTGTCTGTTGGTCCCCACTGAGGGAGCAGACTAAGGGGAAGATGGGCTAGGAAGGTGATTCTCAGGCTTCTTGACCACGCTGTACTCTGGCTCCTCCTCCTGGGGTCTCTGGACGGAAACCCCATTGGCATTAGAGCCCGGCTTCTGTGACTCAAACACCACCGAGCTGTAGTGAAGATCTTCCCTGGTGTTTGCCTGCAGAAAGACCCAAAGCTCAGGAGGAGGCGAGGCAGGACAGACCCCCAGCTCAGGGTGGCAGCACCACCCAAAGCAGCCGTCACTGCAGGGGCTGCAGCGTCCCACTGTCCTGGCCTCTTCCTCCTGCCGGGACTCCCCTCAGCCACTCTGCCCGTCCTCCTTTTCTACTCTACCTGATCAAGCAACAGCTCAGGATCCCTGGGGAGCCAGGGGGTCCCCAGGGATCCTCAAGGCTGACCTAGCCAAGTCTGTTTCACAAGAATGAGCCTGAGACCCCGAGAAGCTTGGGGCTCTCCAGAGACATCTCTATTCTCCCCTGGGAGGACCATTCCTGGCTGTGACCCAGAAACAGGCCATTTTGAAGGACTCAAAAGCAGCTCTGCAGGATCCTGGCCCTCTAGGCAGAGCTTGAATGACTTCAAGTTGCTGTGAACACAGGTTCTGACTTGTCCCCAGGGTGCTGTCTGAAGGGAAGGACTGTGTCTCCAGTCCACTTTGAGATCATCAGTTGCTGAGTTAGACCAGCAAGCACTATTGGTCCCAGACCCCTGTGGTCAGGTGGACCTAAGAACGTGTCATGTGAAAAAGTGGAGGCTCAGACACATGGCCAGGAGCCATCCAATGTAAGCACCTGCTCAGACAGCCTGGAGGTGAAACCACACCTCACACCTCTGCAGCCCCCTGGCAGCTCAGAGAGGCACATGGCTTGCAGGGACGCAGAAACAATATAGGGCAGGATCCTTTGCATGGTGCAGGAATAGCAGCCCAAGTAAATAGCGCCAGTTTGGGCAATTCCAGGGAGCAGGGCACTTCTTTGGAGCAGACCAGGAACAGGATCTCCCATGCCCTGCCATCATCCCTCCACGACTTCACTCAGGTGTCTAAGATGGGCTCAGCGGGTTCACAGGCTGAAGGGTGGGCCTGGGAGGTCCCCGAGGCAGCTCTAGTCTGGTGCCTCCATCTCTCCCCATCCTTTTGCTTGAACCCCTACTCACCGGAGAATGGGCCACACCGGGGCAGGAGACCAGGACATAGCCCATTTCACATGCTCACTTTTAGGTGACTGCACCTAAGAGTTGGCCAACAGCAGCTAATGGACAAAATCTTGAAAGGTAAAGTTGATACCCAAGAGAGGATGGGAGCAGTACACGGATAGATCAGCAGCTTTACCCCTAGGTATGTGGTATATAGTAAGAGCTTCATAAATGCTTGACTATTAGGCCATAGTCACTGGCCACTCCAGACCCCTTCCATCCTCCCACCTCCAGCTCAGTGACACCAAGCCCTTCCAAGGTCCACTACTCTGGCAAAACCTACACTTGCTCCTCTTCTGGTTGCTGTCCTGGAGCTGGTCCCTCTCATCCCTCTACAGCCACTGCTGATCCCCAGCTGGTGCCACCCACACAGGCCGGGGACCCTGGGGCTTGCACGTACCACTGTGCTGTACTCCACCTCCACCTGCCTCGGTGTTGTTGGCTCTTCCTGCAGGGACCATGTGTGCAGCTGCAGGTTTGCATAGTGAGGCTCACACTGCTCAGCGGCCTGCAGTGGGAGGGAGACGTCCAAGGAGTCTCTTCCCCCTCGCCAACCCTGCCTCTCTGCAGATACCCCATGCTGTAGGTGTCTAGCCCCAGGCCGCCCACAGTGCCCCTCTAGGCCATGAGTGCTCCCTGCTCACCCCACCTGGGAAGATCCACCTCCTGCCTCAGCTTCCCTTACCTGCCTGGGGTTCCGGCCCTGCCTTGGACGCTCACCACCTAGAGACAAATGGAGGATGGGGAAGTGGAATTGCTGAACCAGGACAGGGTGTATGCCTGGTGGGAGCAAGCAGGAGGCAGCAGAGGAAGGAGGCCCTGGTTTTGCAGAGACCTAGCACTGACAGCTCCAAGCCATGAGGAATTTCCAGGGGCATCTGCTCCAACTCCTGAGCCTGGAGTCTGCTTCCATCTCTCCCCATCCTCTGCTCGAACCCCTACTCACCAGAGAATGGGCCGCACCAGGGCAGGAGACCAGGGTACAGCCCATTCCACGTGCCCGCTGTTAGGTGACAGCCTCTAAGAGTTGTCCCACAGCAGCTAATGGACAAAATCTTGAAAGGTAAAGTTGATACCCAAGAGAGGATGAGACCAGTACAGGGACAGATCACAGACAGCCACCCGCCTGCTGCCCTGGAGGAAAGAGGGTCCTGCCTTCCTGCACACCCTGACCCTTTCAATCCAGGGACCCAGGAGCTGTGAAAAGCATCAAACACACACAGCCTGATGCCCTTGGCCTGGGTCCATGGCCACAGAACCCAGAGCCCACTACCCTGTGTGTCACAGAGCAACACTCCCTTCCAGGCAAGAGGCCAAGGGGAAAAGCCCAAAGCTGGAAGACAGAAGTCCCCAAACAGCATTGTGTTTGCTGAACTTGCTCCTGATGGGACAGAGCAACACAGGGGTACTCTGGGAGGGGAACATGTTGGGTTCCCAACTCGGTGTGTGGGCTGCACACCACACCTGGCCAGGTGCTTGAAGGGCAGTCGGGAAGGGCAGTGTGAAGCAAGGATCAGGGTGGGGAATGAGGCAGCCACAAGGAGTTCTGAGAGGAGCTGGCTGGCCAGGAAGCTCACTAAAGGGGGAGATCCAGTCCAGCCTAGTCACCATGGTGTCCCCAAGACCCTGCTCAGGCCTGGCATATAGCAGATGCTCAGGACAGCTTTGTTGTGTGAATGAATGCATGCATGAATGGATGGATGGATGGATGGATGGATGGATGGATGGATGGATGGATGGATGGATGGATAGATGGATGGATGGATGGATGAATAGATAGATGGATAGATGGATGGATGAATGAATGGATGGATGAGAATGAGAGGCTGAAAGAGTTGTTAATAGGTATGATGGGGCAGGTCAGGCTTGGGGTGGATGAGTAAAGCTCGAGGTTAGAGACCAGCCTAGACACTGTGAGGAGATGGGGTGAGGACTCACAAACTGAGGCACAATTTTTCAGGGCATCTGAGCAGAAAGCCTTTTCCCTGTTACTGAGGGCCTATTCAACAAGGTATGATGCGCTCATATACCTACAGACTCTGTGGACTGTGATTTCCAGAATATTTCATAGCAGGGAAAATGGTGCAATATGTTAAGTGAAAAATCACTGCTCTAAAAGAGAATTCACGGTATACATCAAGTTCTTTAAGAAATCATAAATGCATACATAGGCCTAGAAAAATTTGGAAGGGACCTGTCTTCAGGGCCAGTGTTCGGTTTTCTCTGGGAGCAGCATGTTCGGTTACCAATCACTAAGCTAAGGAGAGCTTATTTCCTTCTCTGTGCTTTCCTCTCTTCAAGTTCCCTCCAGCAATCACACGTTCCTTTGCACGGAAGGAGAAGCCATCTGTGGAGCCCAAGGCTTTCTGGGTAAAAGGCCGACGAGTCTGCTGCGATCACACAGCTGAGGAGGTCCAGGCTGGGAAACCCCACATGACAAGCAGCATGCATGTGAAGCTCAGGAAGCATCAGAAACAAAGCAGATGGGAAAGAGGAAGTGGCCCGCCTTCCCTGGACCAGGCACCTAAATGCTGGGCTGGCCTCTACTCGGCGGTCAGGCAGAGGTCCCGGATCCTGCAGCACACACTGCTCCTCCTGCAGCTGTGGACAGAGTAACCCTCTCTGTCATGCAGACCTTACTGCGGCCCAAAGGCTTGGACAACAGTGGACAAAGACCGTCCTGGGAATCCTCCTCTTGTGGGATCATTGATTCATTTTTTTTCTCTTGAGGCAGGGTCTTGCTAAGTTGCCCCCGTGAAGTTCATACTTGTGACCCTCCTGCTTCATCTTCCTGAGTGTTGGGCTTATAGGCGTGCACTGTCACACCAAGGTCCAGTACTTATTTGAGCTCTCTGGGATTTATTATTATTTACTAAGTGTCAGACATGGTGCCAGAGACCTCACAAATGTCCTCTAACAACCTGAGCTCAAAAGAAATAGGGATTGCAGGATTCCTGGAGCTTCCTGGATGCCTACCATGGCTTGAGGTGGTAAAGAACCTATTAAACTGGGCATAATACACTTCACAATTTAGTGGGATTTTCTCTCAGAATTTTAAAAAGGGCTGGAGATGTAGCTCTTTGCGAAGACCCTGGGTTCATTCCCTAGTAACACACACACACACACACACACACACACACACACACACACACAGCAAAATGAAATAGACTTTCTGGGTGAAAGGGCACCGAGGAGACTGCTGAGATCACAGAACTGAAGCAGTCCAGGCTGGGAAACCTGGCGTGGTGAGCAAAAGCGCGTGAGGCTGCAGAAGGTAACAGAAGCAAAGCAGGGGGAAGAGACAGTTTCTTCGTTCCCTGCATCAGGCACAGAAACCCAACAGATTCTGACTGTGGGCCTCCTAGGACCGTGGCCGCTGGCCTCTGGGGAGGCCCAGCCGGCTGCAGAGGCAGTCAGGGAAGCTGGCGAGGGCCATCTAGCTCCAAAAGGGCTGTGACAGCTGAGGTGCAGAGCTGCACGCTGGGAGGGCCCCCCAGATGCAGTCGGGGGGACCAAAAAGAAAGAAGGTCTCAGAGCAGAGGAAGGCTTAGGTCGGTGCTCAGGGTCCAGAAGGAGCAAGCCAGGAAGTGGGCTAGGGAGGCAGTCCAGGTGCCGGCGCAGGCCCAGGAGAGGTGGAGGCTGTGGCTCCTGCCAGGGACGAAAGTCGCAGGAAGGGGCCTTCCTCAGCTCTTTCTGGTGGCACAGGCCTATAATCCCAGACCTCAGGGGCTGCAGCAGGAGGATCATGGGTTTGAAGCCAATCTGGGCAACTTAGCAAGAACTTGTCTCAAAATGAAAAAAAAAGAAAAAGGAAGTGGCCTTCCAGGGCCCAGAAATGGGATGAGGGGAAGAGAGAGAGAGTACGGCTGGCCAGATGGCAGGGAGCCAACAGCCCTGGAGGAGCTGTGTTCTGAGGGCGTGGAAAGCCAGGCAGAAGTTTTAAACAGAAGAGTACTCTACCCCATGGGACAACACCCCCCAGCCCCAGCAGGAAAGGTCTCCAGGAGACCTGCTCTGGTGCTGCTCCTGCGCCAGTCTCCATGTAGGGTCTGAGGTGCTCTCAGCACCCACTCTGAGGACCCAGAACAGAGCACTGAGGACAAGAGACCCCAGGGTGGGGCACAGCTGAGCTGCCCGGAGCACACTCACCTTTGTGTTGTTTCTGCAGAATCCTCCAGGTCAGCAGTGAGAGCCCCCCCAGCAGAAGCAGCAGAATGCCCAGGATGGAGAGCAGCACAGGGAGCCTGGTGGGGAGGCGGGCTGGGTGAGGGGGCGTCAGCTCTCTGTGACTTTTGTTTCATTCGTTAATTAAATTGGTTAATTAGTTAACTGTGCCTGGGGATTGCAGCGAGGGCTTGGTCTATGCTAGGCAAATGCTCTATTGCTCAACAACATCCCTGGGGCTTCCCTGACTTTCTTTTTTATTTGTTCTGATTTTTGCGTGTTTTTTTTTTTTTTTTTTTTAAGATAGGGTCTCACTATGTAATTCAGGCTGGCCCTGGAATTCACTGTGTAGCCAGGCTGGCCTCGAGCTTACTTTGGTCTTCCTGCCTCAACCTCCCAAGTTTGGGGATTACAGGCAAGAGCCACCACACCTAGCCCTTCCTTGACTTTTCAAATACAAGTTAAATTTTTGAAAAAGGCGAACAGTATAATGCCTCCCCTTTACACTTCCCACCTACGCATCCTCCGATTCCTCCCACAGATGCAGTGCACGTGACCCCAGGCACTTCATTCCTAGGCAAGCCAACGTGAACATCCAGGCCTGGAGTGTTTGCCTGGCATTGTCTAGTGTACTAGGCCCTGCTTTACAATCCTAGTATCATAAAAAAAAAAGGTAGTAGACACATATGGATGAATATTAGTTCTCTTCTTTCTTCACACAAAGGAGGCAGCACTATTCTGGTTTAACGTCTTAGAGATCTTCCCACCTCAGTGCTCAGGGAAGTGCCCCAGCTGTATAGGACTCTGTCACATGGATAGACTGTCATTCCTGTGACCCCTTCTTACTGAAATTTCCTGTGGAGGCCCACCTGAGCAGCTATCCTTGAAAGAAGGGTGACTGTCTCCATTTTGGCTGAGCCTGACCCTATTTCCCTGTATTGTTATGTACAGAGCTGGCTAGGACTTCTGTTTATCCTTCAATTGGCCTTAAGCAGTGTGTATTGGTCTAGCTGAGGTGCTGGTGATAGTCTTTGAAGGTGGTGTGCGTGTTTCCCTGGTAACCTATACCTGCTGCTTTTTAATATGAACCGGCTTGAGACAGGACGAAGAGCCAATGCTCCGTGCTGCCAGCCTGGATTGAGCCTCGAGATAGAGGCTATGACTTCCTGGGGCTTGAAAGACTACATCAAAGCTGAAGCACCAGGCCCCCAAAACATTAGATACTACCTCATCAGCATAAAGCAGATTACTCTCTCTGCATATCTTCTCTGCATATGGCAGAGGTAAATGTAGGCCACCCACCTAGCTCAGCTCACAGTAGTCACCTACTTCCCACAATTCTCGGTCATTCTCCTCAAGCCACTCCTCCTCAAGCCACTTCTCCACTGAATAAAACCAGGTGAAGCCCTGGGTCAGCCTCTTTGTTCCAGAAAGCCACCTTATGGCTGGACTTAGGGGCCCTTGACTCTCCAATAATTATAAATATGTTTTAGGATTGGAATTCACTTGGTGGAATTCTAATAACATATCTTTGGGATTACAAATATTAACTTCCGGGCCGAGAGGAGAACCTGGAGGGGACTCCTACAGTTTCCCTCATTTTTTTGTGCTATGACAAACACTGTTGGGATAAATCATCCCCTCGCCCTGCCATTCCACACCGGACAGGCAGCAGCAGATTCACAGTGAAGCCTTTCTTCGATGCCTGAGTCTATAAAAATCATTTATATTTTAAATGTTTGTTTGTTTGTTTGAGTTGTTCCCTTGTTTGTTTCAGGGATGGGAGCAAAGCTAGGGTTCTGCCAGTGCTGGCCAAGGTCTCTACCACTGAACTACACCCCAGATTTTGTCTTCTTTTAATGATGCCCCTCATACACACACAACTTATAGAAGCTTAAGGTTCTTGCAAAGCTGAGCTCTGGCTCCTGTGTGTATCTGTAGGGTGAACAGAAGTGACATGTTTTGAGTCTGAGATTTGCTTTCTGCAGTGTCCACACTGTGACTCTGGGAAGCTTGCTTGGTAGGAAGCTTGCAGAAGGGCTTTAGGGTGCAGAGAGGAAGCTGATTGGTCCTTGTCCTGGGCTCTGGGAGAGAGCCCCAAGTAATGGGAGCACTTTTGTTGTTCCCAAGTCAACCCGACTGCTCAGAGGTGATGAATGGGGCTGCTCAGTGGAAAAACCATGTGACACAGACTCTGACCAGCCCAACCACCAAGAGAGTAAGTAGGGCTGGAGATCAACTTCAGTCACATGGCCGATGCCTCAGCCACTCTCACTCGTGCCATGAAACTCTAGAGTAAACCTGGGCACAGAAATGAGATAGTCCCCCGGAGGTTCCATGTCCCAATCCCACCTGACTAGGAATTCTGGGACCTTCCCAGGCTGCAGGCTCCTTGCGTCTTCATTTGGCTGGTCCTGATCTTTATCCTTTATGATAAAACTATAAGGCGGTACTTTGTAGAGCTCAAAGTCTAGTAAATTACTGAGCCTAAGGGAGTCATGGGAACCCCCAAATTCATAGCCCATTGGTCAGAAAGGCAGTGACCTAGACCTCCTCAAAGAGCAATGGCCTCTGCATGAAGGTGTCTTATAGTGGCCAGGGTCTTTAACCCTAACTCCCAGCCGTCAAGGCCACAGTTGAATTTCAATGCCCCAGCAGCTCAGAGGACCCCAAAAATCATTTATGAATGCTTGCATTTTTCTAGAGAGAGTCTCTAGATGTTGTCAGCCTCTCTGAGGGGTTGGTGACACTAATAAAAATTTGAGAACCATTCCCTAAAAGGGAAACCCAAGTCTTTGGGGCCACATTACCCCAATCTCAGTCCTATTTCCTGTAGCTATGTGACCGGACAATTGCTTAACCTCTGAGTCTCGGTTTATTCATCTGTGAAATGAGCCTGGTGATTGTTCAAGGTGGCCAGAGTGTTCATGGCAGAGTGTTCCCAGCCCAGTCACTGCAGCTTTCCTTTCATTCCCTCTGTCCCCTGATTCCCCCTCACCTGTACCCTCTCTTTCAGCCTGGGGCAGGCTCAGAGCAGCCGCAATGACCCCAGCTAGGATGCACAGACTGCAGCCTCCAACCCGGGCCTGTGGCAAAGGGCACAGAAGGACCCACCCAGCAGGGTGTAACTTGCTTGCCCAACATCCCTGAGCCCTGAGCTCCTCCTGAGAAGATTCTCCTTCCAGGTCACAGACAGGATGGCCTTACCTTGAGGCCTGGACATCTTGCTGGTTCTCCTGGCTGCTAGAGGTGTGAGTGGTACGCCAGGGCCTGGTAAAAGATGCAGCCGGGACTTCAGTTGTGGTTGATGAGGTGCTGCCTATGGTGTCAGTTGTAGGCTTCTCTGAAGTTGCTTCTGGGGCAAAAACACAAATCAGATTCAATGATCTCTTCACTGACTTCATACCAGCTGCCCAGAAAGAGGAGGGGGCTGGGGGCTCCTAGACCACATTCTCCCTGGACTCTCCTGAAGCAATAGAGCATTTGCTAACAAGAAGCAGGAACTGCCTCAAACCATTCCTATCCTTGTGGCGGGTGGGTTGCTCCCCCCAGGAGCCTGTGAGTTGACTCCCTTGCCTGGTCTGGTCTCCATCCAGCCATGTGCTGCCAAAGATGTTTATCTAGCCACAGCGCTAATGTGTCACTTGTCCAAACATCACTGCCTAGCCCTCACCCAGCCCTCTGCTGAGCCCCTCCCTCCCTTCAATGAGCTCTTTTCCTGGGACTCAACTCTGCACACTCTGCTCTCAGCTGCCCATCCCCTCATGGCACCTTCCCTCAAGACTGTGCCAGACTGCCAGCCACTCCAGGATGTTCCCTCTGACCCTGGACTGTCTTTCTCCCTGTCCCTGTCACTCCCTGCCCACTGCCGCCTGAACTCACAGAGCTTGCTCTTAGTCTCTGCACTGACTTTCACCCATTATTCCCATCTGAGCCTTTTAGGGCAGTGCTAGGGCTCACCTGGGAGAACAGACACTGTAACAGAGAAGACGGGATCTTCTTGCCATCGTATATTAATTGCACACCAGTAGGAGCCTGCATCCTGCAGGGCGAGGTTCTCCAAGGTCACCGTGAAGCTGAGGTTGGCGGGATGGTCCCTGATAGTCACTCGGCCATTCCTCACTTCTCTCTCTGAGCCGTCAGTCTCCACAATCTTGTCACACGTTATAAACGATTCTTTGCACCAGTACTTCGCATATGTCTTGTAGTGCTCCTCGTACCAACACTGCACACTCAGGGATCCCCCAACAGTGCCCGTCACAGTGCTGGGGTCACTCAGGAGAAAACAGCCTGGAAAACACAAGCCCCCGTCTGAACTCTGACAGCCAGGTAGGGTCAGGGGGCCCCTGGGGGTCAGGTCCTCCAGAGACCGCCCACTCTACCTCATGTCAGCTCCCACCCTCCAGGTCACTCCTTACCACCTTCCCCTTCTGCTCTCCACCCAAGAGTCGGATATCATGGTCCCTTCCTCCATCTGGCTCCTCCTATCCCTCTCGGTGACCAGGCCTCCTGCTTCCAAACTTGCCAAGACCATAAAAGTCACCCCTGAGCTCCTACTGTCCCAGGAAGGTGACCATTGCCCTGGACAGCCCTGTATGTGGAGAGCAGCCATCTGTCACTCTGGTCCCACCTTGGGATATGAGGCAGGGCAGAAGGAGGTGAGCAGACCATTGAGATGAGAATGCTGTGTGCTGTGGGTTGTGTCTAGATGCCCCCCAAAGCCTCATGTGGTCACGGTGTCCTATCCTATTTGGTCTGCCCAGTTCTGGCAAATTAATTTTCAAGTAAGCATATTGCTTATTCCCAAGATTTATGTCTCCCATTTTGCCAGATAGATCTCAGACACAAAGCTGGAGAACACGGCCAAGGCCACCACCAAGCAGAAGGCACAGCCCCTCCCCCAGCACCCAGGGGACGCTGCGATCTTGAAGGGGTTCCTGAGTCTGGGGACAACCTGCTCTTTGTCTTGGTTATTTTTCTCTTGTTGCTGAAACAAAATATCTGATACCCCAAATTCAGGAAGGGAAGATTTATTTAGCTTATAGTTAGTGGAGGCTTCAGTCCGTACTTGGCTGGCTCTAAGGCAGAGCGCCACGTGGCAGAGGGCAGCAGCTCATGGCAGCGGAGAACAGTGAAGAGTAAGGCGGGAAGCAGCAATAGCGGCAGCTAGCAAGTCTCTCTCCCTCCCTTGGGTTGTATGCATACCCCCCCAGGGCAGGTGTAGCACTCTCACCTGTACTCCCCACCATGGATCATGAAGCTCTGAAGCCTGTCCCAGTGCCTGCATGAGGCTTTGGGGGCCACCTAGATACAAGCCGTAACACTGTTCTTACTAAGGGTTAGAATGCTTTCACCTTGCTGACCTTTTGAGATTCTTAACTCTCACTTAAAACAAGGGCCACTCAAATGCCCACCCAGGCCTGTCTCTTGGGTTTGCTCTTCTGCATCTTTGATTCCTTAAATCAAGAAAAGGAGAAGGAGGAGGAGGAGAAGGAAGAGGAGGAGGAGAAGGAGGAAGAGGAGGAGGAGAGGAGGAGGAAGAAGAGAGGAGGAGGAGGAAGAGGAGGAGGAGGAGGAAGAGGAGAGGAGGAGGAGGAAGAAGAGAGGAGGAGGAGGAGAAGGA